ATAATTTATTCAGCAAAAACTGAATTATTTCATATTCTTCAGTGGAAGGAGAAAGTAAACCCGTGACATCTGAAGCTGGTTTTAGCAGAAACAACCTCCTGTAGGTGTTTATTTTGTATCAGCCTGTTTAGATTTTGGACCACTCGTCCGGGCAAAAATTCCTTTTTTTTGCAGCAAGATGTTTGAGGATTTTTTTCTCGCATGTTCTGCCCATTTCAAATCCCACCACATTTCAATCTGGGCTTTGACTCCGGCTTCTCCAGAGCTCCCCGTCTCTCCTGGTGGATCTGCTGGTGTGATGAAGCTTTTTACTCTAATGTTCTCCTTGGACCCCGAAGGCCTTTGTTTTCTTGGCGCGCCACATTTCTGGCGATCTCTTTCTGATTGTAGCTGCGGCACTTTGACACCGAGCTACCTGCGGATCCTCTGATGAAATCCGAGGCTTCTTTCTCGCACCAAACGCTCGGCTCTCGGGACGGATTTTCTCGGGCCTCCGTAAATTGGCAGCCGTTTGAAATCTACTTGTAGATCGTAGAAGGTATATTTCAAATAAATCCAGACTTGTAGACATCCAACGCCTCTTATTTTTTTTTCTTCTGAAGGAAACTCTTTAGATCTTGGCGTGATAACACTTCAAGAGAAAAGCCTCAACGCGAGAGGTTTGAATGAGGCAGATTCCACCTGTCGCTCCCTGAGGAGGGTCTAGTCGTTGGCACTCGATCTGGAAGCCCTCGGTTCTAATTGGATAGATGCGACGGTGTGATAACATGAGGGCTGGATTCATTTCTTTTTGATTATCATCTATTTACATTCTGGTAACGACTACAAAATGTATGTCGCCTTCATGTGGGTTTCAAAAAGGAACCAAAAGAGTGAACAATCACCATGGGATGTGCTTTTCTGTTCACTCGATGTAAACTAAATTATCCAGAACAGACAGCGAGCAGGACAGTCGAGGGACGGAGCCGGCGTGAGGACTGCCAAGCGCAGCAAATGTTGGTTTGCTAACAGTCGGTTATGTGTTTATGGCTCACGGACGCGATCCGGGTGTGAGCGAGCTGAACTTTTCACAAAAGGGAAAAAATATATAATGAACGCTTTAAAAGACAATCCATCTGTTTTCTCCTGTTTGTCTCCTCTGAAGTGTTTTCTCTCACCTGCTCTGAGTAACGGAGCCTCTCGACCTGGAACGCCGTCAGACGGAAGCACTTAAAAACTATTTCCCAAATTAGACGGGATGCTGGCTGAACTTTTGTGAACTGTTTCAAAGAGTGAAAAAAAGTAAAAGGAAGGAAACACCTAAATAAAAAAAAAAGGCACGCCTTAAATGAGTCATCAGCGCACCTCTGAGTGTCAATCATGTCCAGGAGTGGAGCTGCAGAAACAGTCAATGGAAAAAATGAAAAGAAATCTGCCAATCACAAGCTTGTTTTTATGTTAAACATTTTTTTCTCTGTTTGGGAAATATGCAGATTTGTGTTCTGATTAATGCAGCAGAACTGTTCATCCTGAAGCTTCAGGCTCTGTTTAAAAAAGACCAAAATCACTTCAAACAAACGTACAAATCAGCACCTAATGTATTGTTTATTTAATCTGGACTAAAATCAAAGTGTAGAAACACCAGCAGTGTGGCACATAAGCCCTATAAATGGTAAACTGATAGTTTTATCACTTTGTTTTCTTTAAGATAACCAACCAATCAATCAATCAATCAATCAATCAATCAATCAATCAATCAATCAATAAAGGTGTAAATAGCTGGATTTGGTTGCCTTTTGGTAAAGTAGTGCTGACCGCTTCACGTCTTCACTTCAGTTTAATTCAACTTTATTTATGTTGCATCCATTCACAACAAAGGTCATCCAAGGTCAAGTCCTGACAAAAATATATTATCAACAGAAACCAAACGAGTCCCTTTGAGCAACACTTNCCTGACAAAAATATATTATCAAGAGAAACCAAACGAGTCCCTTTGAGCAACACTTTGGGAATTAAAAACAAATCCTCTCTAACAGGAAGAACTTCCGGCAGAACCAGGCTCGGGAAGATCAGCCGGTCAGGGCGAAGAGAGAGCAGAGGAATAAAAGTAAAGTAGTCAGAAACAGACTATTAGTGTTGCTAAGCTAAGCTAAGCTAACTAACTGTATTTTTATATTGAACACACACATGAGAGTTGGTTTGAGCTCATTTCCCAGAATGCCGATTTAGTCCTTTTGGGTTTTTGGGAGTTTTGGGTTAAGGGTTTAAACCCAAACCTTAACCACATATGTCTGTCCTGTAAACAAAAAAAATGAAAGCCAACAGCGACTGAAAAAGGCAGAAAACAGTGACTAAAAATACCACTAAACGGCGACTAAAAACTGCAGTTAACAGTGACTGTAAAAGACAGAAAACAACTACCGAAAACAAAAGTAAAAAGCAACTGAACATGACAGAAAACAGCAACTAACAACAAAAGTAAACACGTACTATAAAGAAGAGCAAACAGCAGCTGAAAATTAAAGCAAACCCTGACTGAAAAAGACAAAAAAGGGGCTAAAAATATGACTAAAGAGCAACTAAAAACCACAATAAACAGTGACTGAAAATAGCAGAAAACAGCGACTGTAAGGAACAGAAGGCAATGACTGAAAATAAATAGAAACACTGAATGAAAATGAAAGAAAATAGTAATGATAGTGATGAATTCAAATGAATGCAAACAGCAACTGAAATGACAGAAAACTGCGACTGAAAAAAGCAGAAAGCAGTGACTAAAACTGACACTCAACAGAAAGCAGCAAGAAAACAGCAATGAAAATGATTGAAAAAAGCAACTGAGAATGAAAGTAAACAGCAACTAAAAAGCATCAGCATGAGAAAATTTTCACCCAAACAATGTTCGTTTTCTGAAGACGTTTTGCAGCTTTAAAAAAAAAAAAAAAAAGCAGAAATGACTGCAAACAGTGACATAAAACAGTAAATACCAAAAACACAACGGTCTCACACCAAACCACGTAGAGACCACGCTGCTACGATTATGGTCGAGTGAAGGAACTCGAACGAGCTGAAGGCAGATGTTAACACCAGATAATGATGTTTGATCACAGACGAGCTGCGTATGAGCCAGAGTGGCACCAGGGATGTGTTCACCTAGAGACACCATCAATCTCCTGAGAGTCCACCTCCTCAGGACGACACACGAGACGAAACATCACGGCAAAGACCAAAAACATGCTGCCAGTATGTCAGAGAAAGTCTCATTTTGATCCAAAAGCCAGATGTCGGTTTTCTGTGAGTGTAACTGACGACTGCATGAGTACAAAAAAAAAAGCGTGAATGGGGTCTCCCTCTTTGGAAATGTCAGGATTTCCTGAGCGGGCTGAGCCCCGCTGACCTGACACGGAGGTCAAGTGGCTGCTGTGATGCACAGCTGAATAAGACATTGTTCCTTGATGCTGAGCGGCTTTTCCTTTTTGATTCCAGCCCCTTCAGCTCCACAATGAGTCGTGTTCCTACCGTGAGTACAGCGAAAACAAAGCCGGGTGTTGTCCCGCCTGTTCTCCTTTTCTAAAAAATTGCCTCACGCTTAAAGAAATAATCAGACATTTAGTGATGTGCGTTTATTTGCCCTCACTTTAGTCGGGCTTAAACTGAGCGGACCTCCACCTCCTGACATCCACCAACACAACTCTGGAAACAAACGCAGAACGTTCTTTTCTCTGACTTTAATAAACGCCACGCTGAGCGTTGGACCGATGTCCTCGGGCGGCGCAGCAGCTGGGACTTCATTAATCATTCACCACTTCCGATGTGTGATCGTGTGCATTAACCCAAATGCTGTAAATCTGCGTAACGGAGCCGCTGTGCACAAATTCACTCTTTTATCGATATAGTTTCATAAATATTGCATCCTCTAGAGAATCCCTTTGGTTGTTTCCTGGTGTGTTTTCAGTTTGGTTGTTTAAGTTTGATATTATTTACAGTAGAGGCATCGCTGCAGGAGTGGACCTGATCGGATCAGTTGATAATAAAAAGAGTCGGCCTGTTAATGATGTCGGTGTTTCCTGATCCATCGATGAAATGCAGAAATTGTTAAAAATAATCGTACAGTCGTCCTCTAATGTGTTCATAGCCTCCCATTAAAGAAGGAAAAAAACAGCTGAAATAAGATGAAATTGACAAAAGTAATGATAAATAAAAATTTAATGAAAATCATGACGTTGCTTTTGAATTGTCATTCAACAGAAATATTTTTTTTTAACTATTTAAAATTCATTAATTTTTTTACATTATTCTTTTCACCCACAATTCAAAAGCAACATCTTATTTCACTAAATTATAATTCAGCAATTTTTTATTTATTATTACTTTTTCCAGTTTCTAGTTATTTGAGTGTGAATTTTGCCTTTTGTTTAATGGAAGGATGTGAATTAATCTGAGGACGACTGGACATTATTGTCTTTTGAAACTCCGCAGAGCTTCAGAGGTGATTTTAATTTCTTTTATTTCTTCAAATTCATTTAAAATGTTGGATCATCAAGACAGAAGGTAACAAAAACGGGAATCTCTGAGGCCATTTAAAACATCAGACTCTGTGATTTCATTAAAACAACGGAGGTGAAGTCAGTTTTGTTTTAAGAAAACTTAGATGTACAAAGTTGAGCCACAACAACTTCATTACTCTGGAAAATCCACAACTTCAGATGCAAAGCGTCACTGAAGAAATGGAAGAAATAGTTCATATTTCTACCGTATAAATCCAACCTGAGATCCACAGTCTTCCTTCCTCACAGCTCCCACTTTAAAATAAGATAAAACTTTATTAATACCTTTGGTAGGGTGCCTTAGGGAAATTATTATTATTATTATTAACCCCTGATAGCGTAGGAAAGCTCACAGCAGTTGGACTTGACTCAGAGTTGACCAACACACTGTTGATCGATTCATTCTTTCAGCTCAGAGACCCATTCATTTGCTCGAGCAGGTTCCTACACGTCTACCTGAGCGGCGTTTCTCACCTGGTCTGCCGCAGAGGGATGGGCAGCGAGATGCAGAGGAACGGGTCAAAGGTGTTGCTCTGCTTCAGGCAGTGAGGACACGTCAGCGACGACCTGAGGAAAAGGAAACAACACGTTAGTCTGGAAGGAGCAGCTGTGTCGACTCCGAATCAACCTCCGAGTGGCCCTGATTGGGTCTGACGGGAAAGGAGACGCTTTAATCACGTTACACGACGCGGCGGAGGTGAACGTTCACACGCCTTGATCTGATTGCGAGGAAGGAAAAGATGAGTGATGTAACTGATGAGGGATGTGGGGGGGAGGGGCAGAGGCAGCAGCACCCCGGGGCGATGGGCCAGCAGAGGTGGTTTCCATCTTGTTGCGTCACCTTGTGATGCCGTTACAGGATCCAGAGCGGGGAACCTTCCTAAGCCATGGACTCTCTTCCCAAGTGCAGCGATTTTCCATCCCAACAGTTTTCCATCGAGTCCCTTTTGTTCTCTGATTCTTTTCAATCATCCCTCCTCAAGTTATTCCGGTGAGCTAATTGTCAGAAGAACGAGTCGGAGAGTCGACCGACGGCCAGATCGCTGGAAGTGATTCTGTAAACTGTCCTGCCGCTGAATTAAATCCTTTGTCCGGTATTCTGAGCTAATCCGAGCAGGATTTCCTGGATAAGACTTTCCTAATTAGGTGAATCTTTAGAAATAATTGAAATAAAGCACTCTATTTGTTTCCTTAATTTGAATGAATGGCTCTCAGACGTCAGGGCTTTTATGCCAGAGGGAACTTCTGAAGTCGTCACGGGAAGATTTTGGAACTTTTGAAAACCACAGCTCGATTTTACAGGAATATATTTATCACATGGGGGCTGCGAGGTGGATCGGTGGTTAGCATCGTTGGTTCACATCCCGGTGAGGACACCCGGGATCACAGTGGAAACCAAGTGACTCTAACTACTAGTGGAGCATTTTGAACATCAGCATCACGGCTGATTGTGTTGTGAAGTCGTAAACATGAATAATTTCCCCTAAAGTGTGCAGCCCTGCAACTTCTCTCAACATCTGTTTTTGCAACCAAATCTTCCTTTTTGGTGTTTGTCTCCTGTTTGTTGCTCATTGTTGTTGTGTACATGTGGAGCCTGAATGTCAACAAAGCAAAAGAAACCCTCAATAAGAGTAAACGAGCTTCTATCAGACTGACTTTTCTTGGAGGTTAGTGTCGGAAAATGAGAACCACGTGAGTTACAGCATGATAAAGTAAAACAACAAAGGCTAATGTATTATTTTCTGGTTCATCTGCTGTTTTAACATCAGCGGTTCTAGTCGTGACCACTAAGGTACTCATACTCAGGCCACATTTGCCTCCATCTACGAGCTACAACACGTTTAATCTGCTTCCTGGGAACCTCGAGGAAGTCAGAGGTTGTGGAAGCAACCTCGGACATGTCATTTCAAAACCAGCTGGAGAATCTATTTCGTGGGAACGGGAATAAAAATGTTCTCTGGAGTGCAGTTTGTCAGCTTAACATTTAAACAGGTCCTGGTACGACTGTGTCTGAGGGTGAAGGAACGTCTGAACTTCTGATTTCACCTCTGGCCACGATGCCCGTCTGCACAGTGGATATATCAGTGGAAGCTACAGGGCACAGCGCTAATGTAATGACTCTGATTTTTTCTTTTATTATCAGCTCGGCAGATATAAATCCGTGTGAGAGGAAGTAACTTTTCATCGGCGACGTTTTGATTCACCGCTCTAACAGCAACAGTACGGGCCGCACCGTTCTGCACATAAATTGATAATAGACTTGTGGAAAGCAGAACCCAGCAGCGATAAAGCACACTGAGCGCTATGTTGGGTGTAAGTACGCTGAAGGCTCGCATAGAGGAAAATCTGATACTTTCAACAGCCTGATAAACGATATTTAGATCAACCATCAACCCCAAACAGTTTATGGGTGTTTTTGTTTTGCTCCTGTCATATTTTTCACTCCAATATAAAGTCATACACCTCTATCATGCCTTTCGAGTAAAGAGAACTCAAAAATGTGCCGCTAACCACAGTTATAAAGCCATTAATAGCAAAAACCTAAAGCTGAATTTCACTGATTACTAATTTTGCCAAAAAAATTTAACCTGGAATCAACACTGATAATATTTTTGTGCACCGATACTTGTTAAAAATGGTCCCTCTACACACTAGAAATATTTTACCGTTCAGATTTTTAGGGTCTGTGCACACCAAGGACCCTACTGTCACCCTCCGATTATTATTATTCTTCACCGAAAAGAAATGCAATGTAGAGGGTCTAAACATGCCCGCAAACTCACCCAAATCCCCACACACACCATGAATGGTGAAAAATTTGATATTTTACAGTACGTGGACGTGTCACTGTCACAATGACTCCACAGCGCCACCTTGTAAATTTTAAGTTCAATGGAGTCCCATCAGAAGCACGTTCGGCCTAGAGCCATGAAATTTGGTCGGCATATAGAGCAGGTCAGGACGAACAAAAAACTTCATCAGCACCAAGCTCTAAAATGCAACACGCCTCAACTGTGACCCCTAGAAAATTTGAAAAGAGTCCCATCGGGACTACAAAAATTGGTGCACATATGTAGCAGCTCAGGATGCACAAAAAACTCCATCAGCACGTTTCCGTAAACCCAACAGGAAATCCACGTTTTTGAAAAAATGGCGAGCATGACAGGCCATTTTTGCTCAAAATTGGCCAGTTTCAAAATCTATCTCCTCCTAGGGATTGTCGTACACATCAGAAATTTGGCCAGCACAAACTGCAGGACGTGGTGATTAAAAGGTATTAAAATTTTCCGCAAAAGTCTGACGGCGTGGAAAAGCGGCTCGTGCAATTTCGATGAAAGATCATTTTGTGCATTTTCGCTGTGTTTAAGGAATAAGTCATCTAGATCTACACAATTCAGTGGGCATGTGTAGCATCTCAGGACGCACAAAAAAGTCAATCAGTGCCGAGGCCTAAACCCAACAGGAAGTCCGCCATGTTGAAAAAGGACGCCACCATAAAACGCCATCAAACGGGACTACTGTGCTCTGATCTGCCCCAAACTCGACACACCAAATCCGAGTCCCGCTGAGAGCGCGTTTCTACTGAACCCCGATGTGCGCGAGGGCCGACAATCGTACGGCGAGGATCCGTCCATCGCTGCTTGCAGCTTTTGTTGCCATCTATGTGCCCACACTACTCTGCGTGTTCAGCCAAAAAGTCGCAGAACTTTTGCAGATGAGTCACTAAAAGTTTCTTGGTTGTGCAGGGCAGAGGCAGGAGGGCAGATTTTTTTTTTTTGATAGAACAAGTTAAATAAAGTAATTTGGTGACAGATTATAATTGGTGTTCTGGTGAAATGGCACAACGAAGATGAGCAGCTTAACGACAGTCGGAGAGCTCAGAATCCAACAATTCTTTCTGTTTCTAGAGTTTCTTGCTGATTTTTTTTAAACGATGCCTTTCAAACCTGCCAGTGGGCTTTAGGGTTCAGAGGATTAAATCAAAATGGATTAAAAAAGAAAAAGAAAGAAAATGAAACGCAAATTGTGTAAATTTGGTAAAAAAAAAATGTGATGAATATCAAAAGTCAAATCTCCCTCATCAGACCTAAAAATAAAAAGCCTCTCTCTCCTCTTGCTCTTATCTTTTCCACTGGCTGTAGAAGCAACACTCAGCTCCTAAACCTACGTATCGTGCAGCTCTGTGACCTTCACACAGTCCTGCCATGGGAAACGAAGGCATCGCTGAACTGTTCGAATGTGTTTTCCTTATAGCAAAGCACCTGACAGACCCAGCAGGAGAGGAGAGGGATGGGAGGGGAGGGAGAGGAGGAGTGAATAAAGCTCTATTCAAGCAAGCCCAGCTGACACGGGCTCTTAGTGGATCTCTCCCTCTTGGCAGAGTAGAATGGCTGCCCTACGGATGTCTTATTCTCGCCAGGAAACAGTGAGGGTAGCTGCACTCCATGCATACAAATCACACTCGGGCTTCACTAAAACATAGATGCGCTCGCCGCTGCTCTAAAACACTTAAAAAAAAGAGGGAAAAGAGGAGCAGGAGGAAGAGGTGATATTCTGGTGACGCTCTAATGGAGGAAGCGTGCGGAGGTTGAGAGGTTTGTGTCTCCCTGTCTGGGACGCAGCCATGCTGAAGAGACTCCGGCCTCCGAGCTCGGCGCTACAGCAGAGCTTTGAACTTCCCTGAATAACAAATCACTCTGGTGTCTTTATGCCATTCGTTTCCCTTCCAAAGCTATTAGAATCTGGAGAGTCTTCAAATTAATCGATCGTCGGCTCGTCGCTCTCAGCCTGGCAGCTGGAAGACGGAGGGAAGTTTAGTCAGCTCGTGATTTAAAAAGGCATAAACCCTAATGTGTGTCTCATAATTGAAACTACAATATAGACGTGATAAAAAGAAGACCCGTTGTGGACAAAACAGCCGGTCCTGACCCAACAGATCACAGCTAATCAGGAGCCGGGATCAGACCAGAGGCTGAGGGTCTCTGGGAGAAAGCGGCATCGCAGTAAGACGAGCTGCGCTGAAACTGCACCGTGCTCGTAATGTGAACCGCTCGGCTGGCCGTCGCTCGGTGGCTTTGCAGTGAACGCTGCTCGACGGAGACGTTTTCACTGCAGCCTCCGTTAACAGCGACTCATCCACATGCAGAACAAGATCTGTAATATAATTTACTAACTTGATCCAAAGGTAATATATTTTGTGATGACAGAATGAATTTAAAAACATAAATGACGCTAAATTCACCACAAAATGAGGCTTGAAAATACAGTCGTGACTCGATAATCGGCCCTTAACAATCCTAAACTTTGCTAGTTTTTAGGAAAAACCAACAGAACCCATAAAAACAGCCTTAACATAGCGACAGCCTTGGATTCTGACTCCAACATGACATTTAATGTCACCAATCAGGATGACGGCGTATTATCTGACTGAACAATCCCACAGATTGGCTACGTTCACACTGCAGGACTTGATGCTCAATGAGGATTTCTTTGTGACTTCCTTCACGTTTCCAGTTCAATGCGACTTGTATGTGATCTGCTGTGTGAACTTCATACGACCCAAAAGT